ATGGTAAACTTGATTTCCAACATTACTAGCTAGAATTGATGTGCACTTGAATAAATTTAAGAAAGCTGTGACATGCTCGTTCCGTGGTTTTCCAGTCCCTGGCACACTCAGGAACAACAGGCAGAATTCTGGTTATGCAAAACTCTTGACTATTGTCCCAGAACACCATGCCATTTTACAACTTCACCTCTACTTTTGTTACAGGAAGGGAGAAAGGGGCATCACTGAACCCCCAACCTGCCTTCTCTAAATAGGTTCTGCCATCCACTGCATTAAGACAAGACTTAAGAGCTTTAATTGAAAAGAACTTTAATACAATGAGTAAACAGAACAGAAGACAAAGAATATAATTCCTAAATCAAACACCTGAAGTTACCCATTCCCTTGTGGGCAAAAGTCCACCCAAAAGGGATTGGTCCAAAGCAAGCCTGAAAGCCCACCACAAGCCTAAAGCACCTCTGTCCCAGACCCATAGAAAGGGGTCAGATATGGCCAGACAAGTCTGGGAGGAACCAGCACAAACAAAATCAACATAAATATTGTCCTCATCCCCTCCCCACAGGTCTCTCACCCACATCTGTTTCAACCAGCACAGGGCCAAGAAACAAACATAGTTTCTTCATCACAAGCTTTCTGCTCCATGGGGATTCCTCAGGTCTCCTGGCTCTCCATCCAGCTTCCTTCTTCCTCAGATTCCTTCTCTTCTCTGCTCAGCTCCACCCTCCTTCTGGGTGGGGCAAGGAACCTGGAACTTCCCCTTTTCCTGGGGAGCCCCCTGTTACACTTCTACGTCTGCCTCAACCTGTAATGCCTTTCTTGAGCTTCATTATTAGGTAAACTCCTATTTTTTCTTTAGTAACCACCTCACTTATCACCTTCTAATGTCATCCAGGCACCCAACAAAATTAATCATTCTTTTTTCTGTTTTTCTATTATATCAAGCATCACATTATGTTGCAGTGGCTTATCTGTATGGTGTCTCTCCTAATGAACATTAAGTGGGGATGTGTCTCATTCCTTTATATCACCATTGCTTTACACAGTATTTTACATGGCTATTTAATACATTATATTTGGGTTATTTAATTGACTGGCTATTCTTGAGAACAAATCTATTGATAGAAGTTCCCTAACAAAAGCTTCTTTGTATACTTCCAATGAATTTTTTTTCTTGCAAAAAATTCATAATCCTTTACAGTTGGATTTAAAGAAAAGGAGAAACTTGTGACCTCAATGAGACACCAAGTCTGTCATCCATTTTTTAGAGATTCCCCAAGGGCAAGTTCATTTGGAGGAATGAGTCACAAGTCACAACATCAAGAAGTTGTAATTGAAAATACTTCTGTGATTATTTAAAGATCTTTTGAGAAGTTTTAAATTGGATTTACAGAAAAGCAATCTGATGAATTAGATATGAGGTGGTTTTTAGTGCATGATTCTCCCACCTCTTTTTGAGAATTAAAAAAAAATAGTTTCAGAAACTGGGGGCTGGGATGCTGAATAGGAGTCTTTATGTCTTTTGTTTGTATGCATCAGAATGCCTGGGGGAGAGAAGGTGGGTGGAAAGGAAGTGTCCTTGTTTGAGTTCTAAACTGCTGGAACTCTGACATGTTTTCAAAGTGCTTGGGGAAAACATCACAAGCTATTACTGCACGAGGAACAAAGGAGTATCCCAAAAGAAAATCTGATCTGGGAATAAAGCTTTACCTATAGAAGGAGAGGGCCAATTATGACAATTCTAGAAGTTATGGGTTAAAACTTCTACAAAAATTGGAATATGTGCAACTCCAAAGTAAGGAGGAAAGCATTTTTTAAAAAGATTTGTTTATTTATGCATACAGAACTGGGGTACAGGCCAGAGGTGCAGGGGCAGTGAGAGGATTCACCAGAGACAGAGTGGGGAGCAGAGTAGGCAGATCAACAAAGAACACTGCTGAAGAGAACAGTGGGCAAGTCAGGAGAGGTCTGCCGCATCATGTGGGTCATGTCCGGGGCGAGGGATTGAACACACACTGAAGCAGCTGCAGCCAGTTCACAGTGCTGTGCCCTAACCTGTTGTGCCACCAGGGAGGGCCAGGAAAAAAGCAATGCTATCACTTCAGCATAGAATGGCTTGGGTCATAATGGTGTAAAAGGACACAGCCAACCCTCTCCTCCTTTCGTCCAGGTGGTCCTTCCAGGTGGTCTGCAGGCTGTGGGTAGCATCTGTCTCCAGAAAGCAGGAGCTGAGCAAGAAATGCAATGGTATTTTGCATGCATCCTATTATATTAATTAAAAGGCATCATTCCTTTTATTAGACTAATTATACACAGATAGGAATGGGTGCAGAGAGAGGGAAGAGGTTAAGTAATTCCCAGAAGGCAGCCAATAAGTGGTGCAGAAGGGAATGTGGACTCCCATCTGACTCCAAAGCCTGATTTTTCTATTTTAACTCAGCTCCAGTTGGGGTTAAGTGAGGGTCATTATTTATGCTTTTCAAAGTTCAAATTGTTCCTGAACAATCATGCATTTCAAATACTTACTGTCACAAGGACTTCATTATTATCAAAAAGAGATAGTATTAAGGTATTTGGATATATACAGGCGTTAGAAACTGTACTGAGAAGTGAGTGTGCTGGTACTGTCTTTTGAGTATCTACCTTGTTCATGGCATTTGGGACTCAATTATTGTATCCCAGTGTAAGTGATATACTTCTATTTATAATTATCCATGAAACTGGTTTAAACTAGGACTTGAACAAGATTTCCTGTTAGATCTAACATTTTCTAGGTAGCAAGTGTCATACTACCTATTATGAAAATTCAGTGACCTTTACAAACTTAACTGTGGCCAATTTTTTTTTTTAAGGTTTATTTATTGGGCCCTCCCTAGTGGCGCAGCGGGTTAAAGCACAGCACTAAGAAGCTGTAGGTCACACTTCAGCACGAGTTTGATCCCCAGTCCCGGAGGTGATCCACATGGTGTGGCAGACCTC